CTGTCCTCCAGTACTCACTTCTACAAATGAGAATGGAATGTAGGAACACTTTTTGGCTCCAATCATCGTTAACAAGCATTACTGGCAGCTATCAAGCAAGGAGGATAATTTATAGGTAACAATATCTTACTCGGATGACATGGAAACCATCTCTAACCCTCTTTTATACTTAACAGACAACACGAGCAGAATTCACATTTCACTGTCTTTCTTCTGACTAGTGCTATAGACCATCATTAGGCTGGCCGGTCCAGTATCTCTTCGCTGTTGGCTGTGCCCTCTCTCCACCCCAAAGGTCCTGTATCCGTACCGCCTGTCAATTCCATCCTCTCTCATCCATCAATGCCTGGTCTTTAATAAATCCACGCACACAATAGTGTAAGTCCCTGATCATGGCTTTATTTTTTACTTATTCCTGGTACAGGTACATTTTAAAGCATGTCAGTAATTAAAGAAAGAAACAATTGCTTTCTCCTTTTTATTTTAGAAATTATTTGAGTTTTATCATTGTATGAAGGCTTCTAGATTGTGGCAGCTGATAAATATATAATTTGCGATTTGTGACTTTGGTTTTCATCGTTTAGTATTTTTTGCAGTGTAAGTTGAGCTCTGTTTTACGATGTTTGACGGCCAAGTGAAAGTGATGCAGGTGACGTCCTTGTCAAAGGCGTACACCTGCCCATCCCACCTGGAGCGTGTACTCATGATTATATGTGCCTCTGACAAAATCCCACTGTCTACCTTATCATTTGCTCCATAGTTAATATCAGATAATATGTTTCGGCGTCATGAGTGCTCTGTGCTTTTGGAACATGACTCTTCTGATCGATGCTGGGGTATCATGATGAGGAGAAAAGCTGTTTTTAAGTTTCTAGGTATGGCCAATTCAAAATGATGTAGCTGACTGTCTGGAAACGATTAAAGCCGCCAAAGGATGAAGTTATGCTAAGTACTGAAGATGGTCTATGACATTTTAAGTATTAAAATTTTCAAAAATCAAGCTGATGAATACAAAAAAATGATTTTAAGTAGATTCCTTACTTTGCTTGCTCTAAACTATACTTCTCTTTTAAAATGTGCTTTTAAAATAACGCCTCCATTATCTTAAGGGACGTTTCACAATATATTTACAAAATTGCAGTGCCCTTAGGTTACCTGGCTCATGTTTTTTCCTCACGTCTGGGCTCTTAAGTGAGTTTTACATGAACGGTTCCTGACACATTGAGATTTTTCTCAAAGCTCTTCATCGGAGACTGAGTAGATGTCCTTTCCTAGCTGACTACAGACTTTATTTACATCTGGGCTAAACCTCCACTGCAGTAATCTGAGTGTACTCCCTGGCTCTATGGCCTCAGAAGAGAGAAATGATCCTCAATGGTCATCAATCACCTCTAATACACAAAAGCTACTACTCAGGATGAGTGAAAATAATCATCCAGCTTCTACTCAAATAAATCATAAAACTATTCTAACATATAAAAGTATCCAGATATAGAATCCAGAGTTTAATTTTATAGTGAATTTTAAATATGAAAAGCAAATTTAATGTACTTTATTGAATACAGGAGTATCTAAATTGAGCTGCTTGGCAAACAGCTGGGTCATCTCACCCCGGCTCCCAACTACTAATGACTATTAATGCCAAAGTTATTGAGTCTTTAAATATTTTAAGTGTAGTAGGGAGTTAGAGATGGTTTCCATGTCATCATAGTACAGCTTGGTATTATTTCTAAAATTTACCCTCCTTTTCAACATCTGCTAGTAATGTTGATTAATAGTGACAGTAATCCAAAATTATTCCCATGATTCTTCCTAAGTTTAAGAAATGAGTACTGGAGTAAAGTCAAAGAGGGGAAGAATTTCCTTTATTTCTGGGTTTCCATCTAAAATGGCAGTGGATGGTCATATCCTTAAATCTTTGGTTGAAAATAGGCAAATTATAACCCCCCAAAAAAACTGGTCAATGTTTTTTTCTGCTCCCTTAAAAGAAATATTCAGAAATTATAAAACGAAACAAGTATTTAATTTTTTTTTTGGCTGTGCTGCCCGGCTTGTGGGATCTTAGTTCCCTGACCAGGGATTGAACCCGGGGCCCGGCAGTGAAAGTGCTGAGTCCTAACCACTGGACCGCCAGGGAAGTCCCACAGTATTTTAATTTATTTTAATTTGGAGGATAATTTGGAACTATTTTATCCCAAGCAACATAGGGTACATTATACTCAATTAGATACACAGGAACATTTTGTATAATGATTATCTGTATGCCCACTAACCATAAATTCTGTGAGGGCAGAGGCAGTGTCTGCCTTGCTGAGTGGCATTCTCTGTGCACACAACAGGTGATCACAAAGTATGTGCTAAATGAACAAGGGAGCCAAACAGACTTATAAAAATGAAAAACATAGTTGATAACAGTGTGAGCACATGAGAATGTGCCTTGCAGACCTCCAACTAGATGAGAGGAATTGACCAAGGGCCCCAGCTGCTGGGCTCTGAAATCCATCCTCATACTTGGGCCAGTGCCTTGCTTCCCATGGGCTGTTCCCAGCCAACAGCTGATCATAGCAGGGACTCTAAGGCAGGCCCATCCTTTGGAAACATGGGACTCCTCTGATGGATGACAGAGTCATGGGCTCCCCAAAGACTGTTTAACCTCTGTTGACTGCACAGAAGTCTAGGATGCTTCTGTCTAACTTTCCCTCCCTCTCTCCTTCACTTGAAGGCAGAGCTGCACGGCATCTGATGGCTCTCCCAGTCTTGGCAAGCTCTCTCCCCACGTTCTCTTTCACAAGTGTCCCCTTAATAAAATCCTCACATGGTTAATTTTGTCTTGGCAATGGCTTCTTGGAGGACCCTGACTAACATAATAAGAAACTTCAAGATTGAGTAACTCTCTGGAAAACTACTAGTTCCATTTTAGCATCAATTTTGCTATAAATTAATATACCATATTACAATATAATAATATAGTATATAACATTTTGTTGTAAATTCATATACCACACCATATGACCATAAATTTTTAGTCTCCTTGAATTACAAATGATTTGAATGTAATATTAGCCTCAGGTCAAGATCCACACCTTAGGCACGTACCAAACAAATTCTTACTTTTGAACTTTAACCTTAATTTTCAGCATGAGTGATATGCATTTTAATAACACTCTGTTCTTGAATGAAAACATTAACATCTTTAATTCCTCATTAATCTGCGACATTCATTATAAAAAGGGAAACAAATATTTATATAATGAATGCTATTATTCTACTGTTTGATTAATACAATCCTCCTCATAAAATGCAGATCAGTTTCCCAATTCTTTTATAATATATTTGGCTTATTTCTATTCACACAAAATATTTTCATCAGCAACTCTGGCATTAAATTTGAAGATGTTATTTCTTCAAAAATATGATTTTATCAACATTATGCATAATTGTTAGAATTTTCTATCTTGCATTTTACATTTTTATGTAAAATGCCTCATCTCAGACCTTGCTAGACTGAGGAGCTCTTGAAATCGGGATTTGTTATAATTATCTGATTTTTTAATTACTGTAGTTGAATTTATGTAACTTATACTATGAAACTCACTTGGGATATTCCAATTAAGCTTCCAAATATCAGAGTGGTACTTTGCACATATTTTTTATCTCCACTATAGCGTACTGGAAGAACAATGAAATTGACATTTCCCCCGCTTGTTAGGAGAATAAGAGCGTACAATACTGGTGCTTATCATAGTACTAGAAAGCCTATAAATATTTACAAACTTAACTATTAACCTTCTCAAGGGCCAATATTTTGATCATTCACCCACAGGTCTGATCAAGCATTCTCAAGATTCTGAGATTATGTACAGGGAATGCAAGAAATGATATATCAAGGTATAAGTAAATGAAAAGGTTAAAAAAATAAAAGATTCCATTTATTATCTTGGACAAAATATTCGAGGTTAGGGTCAAATATCAAACTAGGAAGGAAAACCAGACTACAGAAAGTCTCCCACCCCCACTTTTATAACTAAAAAGAAAATCCCTTTTAAAATGTACTGCGCCCCTCTTTCCATTTAGTCCTTGCTGGCGAGCATAAAAAAAAAGCGCACAGGGCTTCCCTGGTGGCGCAGTGCTTGAGAGTCCGCCTGCCGATGCAGGAGACGCGGGTTCGTGCCCCGTTTCGGGAGGATCCCACATGCCGCGGAGCGGCCGGGCCCGTGAGCCATGGCCACTGAGCCTGCGCATCCGGAGCCTGTGCTCCGCAAATGGGAGAGGCCACAACAGTGAGAGGCCCGCATAACGCAAGAAAAAAAAAAAAAAAAAAAAAAAAAAAAAAAGCGCACATATTTTAATGTTAAAATGGCAAAAGTATGTTTCTACTTCAGTGCTATTATCAGAAGTAACTAGTGGATAGAAATAAGAATTATAAGGCATTTAGATAGACGCTGCGTTATAAGTCATTGGGTTCTAGCAGGAGTGGCTGGCCACTGCATCTCAACAAGGCAAACAGATCCGGACCACAACCTAAAGCATATTCACTAAGCAGCAGAAAAGCAATTGCTTCCTCCTCCATTTTCTTTTAGATCTAATCCTAGTTTTATCATTAGATAATGGTTTATATATTTGGCAGCTGACTGATACACAGTCTGTTATTTCTACTTTTATTTGATATTCTTGAAGTGTGAGGGCAACACCGTGTTTCATTATGCTGGACTGATGCATGGCACACGCCAGAGTGGCATTACTATCAACGTAGCATTCTTGCTTATCTTGCAAAATGTCCCTACTCACGATTACATATACCCCTGAGAAAGTACAGCTTCTGCCTTGATTATCATTCACTTCAGAAATGAAATTATGCAAGAGATTTCTTTTGGCATGATGAATGTGCATGTGGCGTGTGCGCACACGCGCGCGCGCGTGTGTGTGTGTGTCTGGCATATGACTCTTCTGGTCCATGTTTATGCATCATGATTACGCGAAAGGCCATTCCTTTTACTTACCTAGAATCCTGCCCAGTACAAGGGATCTGACCGCACTGAGTTCTGTACCTGATGCAAGGTGGACTTGTCTCCTCGCTTTCTCGTCAATCTATAAAATTGTTACATGAGATGCAAACATCCAAACGGATGCCGTTGTTGAGAAGAGGACAGGAGGCAAAGGAAGACAAAAGAAAATGATAAAATAGGCAATAGTTAATATGGCCCCAAAGATTTAGGAAAACAAAGTTTAAAGAGTCAGCCATTTATACAGGTGAATATTATTTTCTAAACTATTTCTATGCACCCTCAGATACCAGCGCACCCCACCTTCTATCCCCTTATATCACTTTATTTTTCTCCACTGTATAAGAAAGCCAAAATGGGGAAAACCAACAAAAAGATACAAGCTATTCTCATCTTGATACTTTTACTTAGCTGGGTATTTTCACTTGAGTCATTCACTTAAGAAATTTTCCTCTACCTAGAGGGCTGAAACATTAGTGCTTTTCTTCAAAAGCTGGTAGAGTGAATAATTCAACTTTCTCTGCTGTAATTCACATCATTTTAAAATTTATTCTGATATTGCAATCATTAATTTCTGTGCTAGAATTATGGTTGCATGTACACCCATCTGAAGTAAACTGGTTTCATTAGAGTAGCAATGGTCCTACCAATAGCATAATGTGCTAAACTAGAAAGTATTTCCCTCCTGAGTAAAGCAAAACAAATAGGAAAGTTTGGCAATTTTAAGTATCGAATATTAATAATACTTTGGACAGAATCTTATTGCTTAAAAAAACTGAACACGTCTGATGGTCTATGATCTATGCAAGAACAGCAACTGAAAGGATGTCTTTGTTTAATCTATCCATTATCCAATTTCTGCTGTAGGTCCTTCTTGCTGGGGAGCATAATTTTAACCATTGCTTCTGTTGCATTTTCTCTATTACCTCCACAAAGACCACTGCTTCTTCTCTGTTAATCTTTATGTGGTGAAGCTGCCCATCTGCCATGTTTTTGAAATCAAAGTTAACAACATCGGGTTCTTGATGTCTATTTAGCTTGTACCTGATCTGCAAACTTCCTAAAGTAGGGGGAAAAAGTTATATTTTAGTTAAAATTGTATTTTAAAAACTACTTAAAAAAACTCAAGAGTCCTTTTTTTTTTTTTTTTTTTTT